CACTGCATTTTACATTCACTGTATCTTACACTGTATCTTACACTGCACCTTACACTGTATCTTACACTGCATCTTACACTGCATCTTGCACTGCATCTTACACTGCATCTTACACTGCATCTTACACTGCATTTTACACTGTATCTTACACTGCATCTTACACTATATCTTACACTGCATCCTACACTGCATCTTGCACTGTATCTTACACTGCATCTTACATCCACTTTATCTTACACGGTTTCTTACACTGCATTTACACTGTATGTTACACTGCATCTTATACTGTATCTTACACTGCATTTTACACTACATCTTACACTACATCTTACACTTTTTCTTACACTGCATCTTACACTAATCTTTCACTGCATCTTACACTAATCTTACACTGTATCTTACACTGCACCTTACACTGTATCTTACACTGCATCTTACACTGCATCTTTCACTGCATCTTACACTGCATCCTACACTGCATCTTACACTGTATCTTACACTGCATCTTACACTGCATCTTGCACTGTATCTTACACTGCATCTTACACTGCATCTTACACTGCATTTTACACTGTATCTTACACTGTTTCTTACACTGCATCTTACACTGCATCTTGCACTGCGTCTTATACTGCATCTTTCACTGTATCTTACACTGCATCTTACACTGCATCTTACACTGCATCTTACACTGCATCTTACATTTAATCTTACACTGCATCTTGCACTGCATCTTACACTGTATCTTACACTGCTCTTTTACACTGTGTCCTACACTGTTCCTTACACTGCATCTTACACTGCATTTTACATTCACTGTATCTACACTGCATTTTACACTGCATCTTACCCTGCATTTTACACTGCATCTTACACTGCATTTTACATACACTGTATCTTACACTGCATTTTACACTGCATTTTACACTGTATCTTACACTGTATCTTACACTGCACCTTACACTGTATCTTACACTGCATCTTACACTGCATCTTGCACTGCATCTTACACTGCATCTTACACTGTATCTTACACTGCATCTTGCACTGCATCTTACACTGCATCTTACACTGCATTTTACACTGTATCTTACACTGTTTCTTACACTGTTTCTTACACTGCATCTTACACTGCATCTTGCACTGCATCTTACACTGCATCTTACACTGCATCTTACACTGCATCTTACACTGCGTCTTACACTGCGTCTTACACTGCGTCTTACACTGCATCTTACACTGCATCCTACACTGCATCTTGCACTGTATCTTACACTGCATCTTACATCCACTTTATCTTACACTGCATCTTACACCGCATCTTACACCGTATGTTACACTGCATCTTACACTGCATCTTACACGGTTTCTTACACTGCATTTACACTGTATGTTACACTGCATCTTATACTGTATCTTACACTGCGTTTTACACTACATCTTACACTACATCTTACACTTTTTCTTACACTGCATCTTACACTAATCTTTCACTGCATCTTACACTAATCTTACACTGCATCTTACATTGTATCTTACACTGCATCTTGCACTGTATCTTACACTGCATCTTACACTGTATCTTACACTGCATCTTACACTGTATCTTACACTGCATCTCACACTGTACCTTACACTGCATCTTACACTGCATCTTACACTGTATCTTAGACTCAAACACTGTATCTTACACTGTATCTTACACTGCATCTTACACTGTATCTTACACTCAAACAAAAATGTACCAACACGTAACAGTGACAGGACTATTGCAACAAGAAGCTTTAATGCTGTATTTACTTGTTCTGCTCAGGTAAAGACACATTTAAAGTGAAGATAAGTCCACTAGACAACAAGGAGTACCTTCGTGTGCACGTCCCCCCACCTCTGGACAGAGGAGACGGGTCTTTCCTGGTTCGGTACCGTCTGTATGGGTCCACAATCAAAGGCCTGAGAGTAGAAATCCTTCACCAGGATGCTGCTGTGGCCCAGTCCCCCTACATCCTCCAGGGTGAGTTGTGCACGTCAGCTTTAGATTTGCTTCAACAATTTTCAGTCAGGTCATTTGGACAGTTTCTTTTTTTTGTGCTGAAACATTTCATCATCCATCCAGAAGACTTAATCAGTCATGGAAACACACAACATAAAACTGATTCCTTCCCCAACAGCTTACTCCAAAGTGGAACAAGCCAGTTATTTTGGTGCTAAGATGGTGTCTTTGGCACACACCCTCCTCTGGTGCCGGCCCTCTTCCTCGTCGACAGTCATGTCAAACTGGTTCAAAACCAACAAAGTCCATGCTCAATAATACAGGTATACAATTCAACAATTTTCAGTCAGTTTGTGTTTCCTTGACTGATGAAGCCTTCTGGACGGAAGTTGAAACATTTCAGCACAAAAAAAAAGAAACTGTCCAGATGACCTGACGGAAAATTGTTGAATAGTTCATACGATAATAACCAATTCTTTAACTTAAAGAGGAACATGGTTCGAGCTATATTCAGTCGGCTCAGCGGGACACAAAGTTCAGCAACCTGCAGCAGCAACCGCAGATATCAACAGGTTGGTTTGTTTCACTCACGGTGCCAGCGTTTGGAAAGACACTCGGTCCAAAGAGAAGCGCTTCTGTTGTGAGCCAGACGTGATCCAAGACCCGCTGTCCGACGGTTCCAGATGAGCTGTCAGACAATACCCCCCCCCCCCCCCTCACTCTACTGCTGCACAGTAGAGAGGGGGGAGATCCCGTTGATATACCCTCTCAAAGGTCATTTCAACGGGACACAAACAGCCTTGGCTGCCACTGTGTCAGAGGATGATTGCTCCTGAGTGAAATGTGTGAGTGATCAGGCTGTCACAACATCACCCTGATTGTTTAATATAACTCTCACATTATTCTAACACATGTTTCTGTGTCAACAAAACTTCACGGATGTGCAAGTTAACCAACAAACGGCCTGTTTCACCCCTGAACCACCACCGAAGCTTGTCATTACACTTCCTGAGCCGAAGTTAAATAAATGTTACCGCCTCTACACCTGTTTTCTCTTGTTTAACTCTTGTTTCTCCTCAGGTCCAGTTTATCATGAATACTGCGACTGTCCCGAGTCGGATGTGTCACTCTGGCAGAGCATCATGCATTGTCCCGCAGAGGAACCCCAGATTCAGGCAGATTTCACGTCATTCCCCACCGTCGACCTGCACCATCTTCGACAGGAAGTGCCTCGCAGATTTTCCAACAGAGGCGGCCTCATTCACTACGCTGTCGTCGACAACAAGGTGCACCGGCGGATGCTGGGGAAGTACACCGACTTCAAGATGTTCTCCGATGAAATGTTGCTGTCTCTAACGAGGAAGGTGGGTTCACTCGATTGCTCATGAAAACTATTTACAACCAAATCAATTGATCTTCTGGCTTTGTTCATTCTGCTCCTGAAGGTGAGACTTCCTGACGTGGAGTTTTTCATCAACGTAGGCGATTGGCCGTTGGAGACGAGGAAGGACGGAGCCGTTCCCATCTTGTCGTGGTGCGGGTCCACAGAAACTCGTGACATCGTCCTCCCTACGTACGAAGTCACGCACTCCACTCTGGAGACCATGAGAGGCGTTACGAACGACCTGCTGTCTGTTCAAGGCAACACAGGTGACGCACACTCCTCCTCCTGCAGCGGAAATGATGTTTTTATAGCAAACAGATGCTGGTGTTACAACTTAAAACCACTTTTTGAGGTTGTTAGAAAAGATAGAGTAAAAAGTTGTTTTATTTACATAAACTGTCCAACATGTCTGCAGTGGGAAATGCTTTGTATAGCAGTGACGATGGTAAGTTACAGTGACGTGTCCAACGAAGCTAAAGCACTTTTATTGAATTGTTGCTTTTGATGTCATGTAATCACAGGGAATGGGTTTGCTTCCATCAAACTAACACGGATCACAAACACGCATGGAGAAAGATGAAGGTTTAAAAATATGGTTATGACCATCACTGTGTGTTACAGTACCTGTTTAACCACATGATCCCAATATTCTGTTGAAAGTTTTAATGAGAGCCAGTTTGAGATGGGGCTCCCGTTAACATTTTCCTAACTTGTCTGTGAAATTATAGAAGTCGGAATCAAGTTTGATCCTTAAAGTTTAAATGATATAAATGGTCTGAAAAGGTCTGACAAAATAAAAACACGTTTATTAACATTTTTCTTGCCAAATTGATCATACATTCATGTTCCTACCATCCATCAGAAGTTCATTTTACATAAACGTTGAAAAGAAAATCTTTACATTTCTCAGTTGAACTCTGTACATCCAGGAAACTACTGGAGGGAACTCTCAAACTGCACCATTAAAATAGACGACGACTTTTTTTATGTTTAATAGTGTGAACGCTTCATAAGCGTTGACACTATTGTGATCCATTTTTATGTCGTATGTTTTTCAGCATCTTTCTCATTTCACAGTTTTTGTGATATTTCAACAAATCATAAATCTAAACGTTCAGCTCATTCAGGACAACCCTGCTATGACTGGGATTGGTGCAACTTTAGCTTTTTGAACCTTTTCTGACTTTTTTTTCCATAGAAAATGAATTAAGCTCATTTTACATTCTTCACATCTTTAGATCTGTTTACAACATTTTACTGCTCCTTTCACATTTTGTTCTGGTTCAGCTTCTTTCAGCTTCCTTGTGCAAATTTAAACCATTTTCAGCTACTTTCAGCTGTTTTTTTTCAGTTGTTTTGTGCTCCTTTCAGACTCTTTCTGCTAACTACAACATTTTTGGGCTTCTTCTAACTTCTTTGTGCTAATTTCAGCTTGTTATGCTATTTCAGCTACTATTTAGCAGTTTTATGCTAATTTCATCATTTTCAGCTAAATCCACTTTTTGGCACTTATTTAAACTTTTTTCAACCTAATTCTGCAAAAATGTTCCCTCTCTACTTCCTTCTGGTGATTTCAGCTTTTTTCTGCTTTTGAAGCTACTTTTTAGCTGGGTTTTTTTTTATTGCTAATTTCAGCTTTTTTCAGATAATTTACACTTTTTGTGCTCATTTCTGCTTCTCTCAGCAAGCGTGTTCTTTCTGCTTTCTTCTGATAATTTAAGCTTGTTCTACAGTTTCAGTTTCAAATTTTTTGCATTTTTTAGCTAATTTTGGCAGTTTTTCAGATAAAGTTTTTCTAGTAATTTCTGCTAGTTTCACCTTGTTAAGCTCCTTTCAGTTTTTTCTTTTACTTTCAGATTTTTTGCCTATTTCAGCTACTATTTAGCTGTTTTTATTGCTAATTCCACATTTACTGAGCTCATTTCAGCTCCTTCTACATCCTTCTGGTAGTTTAAGCTTCTTTCTGCCATTTCAGCTCCTTTTCAACTGTTTCAGCTAATTTCAGCTTTTTAACTAATTTCCTAATTTTTGGGCTCATTTCTGCATATTTAAACATAATTCAGCAAATATGTGTTTTTTCTGCTTTCCTCTCCTAACTTAGGCTTGTTTTTCCATTTCAGCATGTTTTTTTTTTAGCTAATTTCAGCTGTTTTTCAACAAGTTCTTCAGCAACAAGCATTCACACTGCATTTTCACAGGAAATGTCATTTCTCTAGTTTCGTAGTACGTTTTAAAATATTTTTTTACTTTTTGTCCTCGACGTCCTCACTTCTTTCATCATCCTGTTAATATTCGGTCTACCTTCTACCAGGGCCTCCGTGGGCTAATAAAACTGAGCGGGCGTTTTTCCGTGGGCGGGACAGTCGAGAGGAGCGTCTTCAGCTCGTCTCTCTGTCCAAGAAGAACCCGGAGCTGCTGGACGCCGGTATCACAGCGTGGTTCTTCTTCAGGGACAGAGAGAAAGATGTGGGCAAAGCTCCGCTGATTGGCTTCTTTGACTTCTTTAAGGTGAGGAAATGTGTTTACATTTAAAGCTCTTTTTCTCATTTATGCAGCTTTTGTTAAAACAATACATTTTTAAGTAACGTAGACTATAAATGTCTGAAGCAGGAAGAGTCAAATTTTAAAATTAGCTGCACTTTTGTGGTTGTAACTTGAGTTTAACGCAGAGTTTCGCAGCCCTAAATAAAAATGGACTGATTAGAGTCAAACTTCATTTAAAGAGAAGTGACGCTTTTTATGTCCTCTGCAGTACAAGTACCAGGTGAACGTGGACGGAACCGTCGCAGCGTACCGGTTTCCTTACCTGATGCTGGGGAACAGTCTGGTTCTGAAGCAGGACTCGCAGTATTACGAACATTTCTACAGCCGCCTAAAAGCAGGGAGCCATTACGTTTCGGTGAAAAGAAACCTGTCGGACCTTTTGGAGAACATCAGATGGGCCAAAGAGCACGACGCTGAAGCGGAGGAGATCTCCAGAGCGGGACAGGAAGCAGCCAGAGAGCTGCTGCAGCCTAGCAGGTTGTACTGCTACTACTACAGAGTCCTGCACGAGTACGCTGACAGACAGACGGGACGGCCGACGCTACTCGCTGACATGGAGCTGGTGCCGCAGCCAGACGACCACACCGCTACGTGCACGTGTAAACAGGACACAAAAGACAGTGACGCGAAAGATGAACTTTGATGAACTTTTTGTTATTCTTTAACTGTTTTTATATAAAACATTCCTGACAACAAGTGAAAATGATGACAGTTCCTGGTGATGATTATAAATGATGTGGCAGTTTCATGTTCGTCACTAAAAGAAGTTAAATAAGTGACTTTTAATTCAAACTTTTCTGAATGTGCCTTTTAAATGGGATCTTTCTGTACACGATCAGTTTAGAAATATACATTTTGTTTCTTTGGAATAACTAAAACGTGGAGCTTTCAGGAATGTTTCTTTCGTGGTGACAATGGTCTGCATCAGTGTGATACAAATGCTCCAGTCTTCAGCTGAATTTAATGGTTAGAGTGAGGGGTTCGCTCTTTTCATTGTTAATAATCGAACGCATCATTTCTGAAGATTTATGGAAAGTCTTTGTACCTTTAAAGAAGTTCTCAACCAAAGCTCTGTCTACCCGGCCACATTTTGTAATGGCCACCTCCATGTTATTGCTGAGGACGCCGTAGATGTTCTTCTTGTCGTCTTTTTTCCCAAAGAACAAGAAGAGGGCGTAGCAGTCTTTGCCGACGGAAGCGCAGAAGTTGACCATCCTCTCGTACGTGTTTTTACTGCTCGACTCCATCTGGGCCATCTTGATGGATTCAGTCTTGGCCTCCTCTGCAGCGTTCTCGTGGTTCTCCCTCTCAGGCAGGTGAACAACCTGCACAGCTATCTGGATTTTAGGGTTCTTGGTGGGCTTCTCAAGCAAGGCCCAAACCCAGTCAGCACCCAGCAGGATGCGCTGCTCAGGGGTCATGATGGTGCAGTTGAAGGTGTCCGTCATGTTGAGGCTGAAGCTCTGAGCGATGTAAGTCATCAGGAAGACCTGGTGGAGGAAGACATGCTTAATGGCTGTTTAACTGGATATTAATGGGGCATGTTGGTGGTCCAACCTGAGTTAATGCCTGAGGACTCGGGTGGAACTTTTCTTCTGGGTCTTTGAAGGCGAGGTATTCCTGAGTTCTGGTCGATGCGGCGGAGATGCAGTTACTGATGAGATGTACGAAATCTTTGGGCTTGCTTAAAGAGGGCGTTGTCAGCTTGGCAAAGACGCCTGGTTGGTTCTTATCGAAGGGGGGTTGTTTGGGAGAGCTGTGGAAGAAGCTGACGTTCCTGGAAGGGCTAGAAGACAGGCTGGCTGACTGGCCCATGTTGAAAAGTTAAGGGAGGGCAGAAGATCAGATTGCTGTCTCCCTGATGCACTGAAAAGACGGAGTTCGTACAAAATGTAAGGTAAAATGTAAATATGCAGTGCTGTGAAACAGTACTGGCTCCCTTTACATTTAAATGTTTTAGATCAAACAAATTTAACCTGAGTACATAGAAAATACAGTTTTTATACCAGGGGTCTGCAATCTGCGGCTCTGGAGCCACATGCGGCTCTTTGGTCCCTCCGCAGCGGCTCTTTCAAGCTTTGATCAAAACTAACATCAAACTGAATTTTATAGGATCTTAAGATCTTTATACACTCTATAGGATGTATACCCACAACAAAAAATAACCAGTTTGAGCAGTTTTCTTGTCATTTCCATTGCAAATATTTCAATACTAGTACTAATACACAGAGTAAATTATACTCCCTTTAACTTTATGCATTATTTATTCAAAGTATGATACTCAATTTCTTCACAATTTTAAAATAACAAACATAAACTCTCAGATTATGTGCTGGGGATGTGTCTCAGCTACTGCCACACCAAACTTTAGGGCACGTGAAAACAGACATGCATACCTCCATATGGCCATACCGTAATAAATTTAACAGATACTGAACTAAAATCTGATATTGTTGGAGCTGATCCATACACAGCACACACTTTGAGCCTGAACACTGTTGCAATCTCTTTTAAAACATGATATCAACATAATTATAAAGTTGAACTAAAACAGCTGCAGTTCTGTCATTTCTCAATGTACGAAGATTTTAGACCAAAACGCATGAAAGCCTGCACAGTTCATCACTTTAGTTTAAAAAAGAAACTGG